TATATATATATATGGATGGGAGCGAGGAGAGGAAGGAAGAAGAAGGGAGAGCGGAAAGAGAGGCGCCCTAGAACTTAAGTGTTTACACATTGTACAGCAGCCATCCTTTTGCCTTATAAGGACAAAGGTTGAGAGCATGTTACACAGGCTGCTACTAAAATCCCCTATCTGTACTTAGTCTTATTTGAATGTAGCAGAGAAAGCACTACAGTGACATCTTGCCCAGGCCAGGCAGAGTGTAGATAGGATTGATTCAAGGGTGCGCCCATGGACATCTTAATGTACTGCTGGGTATACTCTGGGGGGGGTCTTTGACAAAGGGTTGGGAAGTCAGGGATGAAGTTATCTTTGGGGAGCTCTGCTGATTTAGCAGAGCCTGGGCAGCTAAAGTTTGACCTCACCAGATGCCAAGGGTAGACCACACAGGTGCATGACCTACCTTCTTATTTAAAAATTTATATTTAGCTTACAATGTGATGAAAGAGGTTGTATGAATTCCCAGGCACCCGCCAGGGGCTTTTCTCCCTATCATCATCTCAGGGCTACTCCTCTCAGGGAATGTGTATTACTTTTCTGTTGCTGTGATAAAACACCATGACCAAGGCAACTTATATAAGGAAGAGTTTATTTGGCTTACGGTCCCCCATAGGCTTCAAGTATTCGAATATGTTGTCCCCAGTTGGTGGTGCTGTTTTGGGAGGTTTTAGGAGGTACAGCCTTGCAGGAGGAAGCAAGTCACTGGGGGGTGGGCTTTGAGAGTTCTTAAGCTTTGCCAGATTTCCAGTCCAGCTCTGCTTCCTGTGCCCACTTGAAGATGGGATCATTTGGCTTTCTGCTCTGTCCACATTTGTCTCCATGCCTTCCCCTCCATTATGGACTGTTACTCCTGGAACCATAAGCCAAATAAAATCTTCTCTAAGTTGCCTTGGTGTTTTACCACAGCAACAGAAAAGTAACTAATACATAAGGTGTCTGAGGGCTGAAGATGGAGGACAGGGTAGACTTGTGTTCCTTCATCCTGACATTCATACATTCACACATGATAACTGAACATCCCAATACCATGCAGCAGACTAGGATGGGGATGGGAGACAAGGCTTGGAGGGCAGGGGGAGAAATGTTCCCAGGACTTCAGGAGAGGCCACCTAGTGGAGACAGGACATACCAGGAAGTGTCCTCACAGCAGAAGCCAAGAGCTGCAGGTGGCTTTGAGCACCAGAAACCTACACTCAATAAGCCCAAACTACACACTATATTTGAAAGATTACACAAAAATATGCTACTTATTTGTTATTCACAAATATTCACACAGTGGTTATGAGGTGAAGTGATTCTACTGTAGATGTAGAAAGTTAGATAAATTACACAGATGGTCTCTGCGTAATGGTGCCTTGACTTTTGATTTTTTGACTTTACCATAGGCTCATCTAGGCATTAAATGCATATGCATGTTTGACTTAACAATAATGTTTTATGAAGGATGAAGTTATAGACGTCTGTAATATATAAAATACTGTAAGAATCAATCACTTGCTAGTGGCATATGTGCCCTGTATCTGTGACTCACTTCATTCTACCAACAGAACTGCTCTTGGTAACAGTGTGAGGACCAGGGGCTGCTGCCTAGGAAGCGTGGGTGGGCCACAGAGATAGACTTCACACACTCCAACCCCCAAGTAACTACTATGGGAGGCTGCCTTTGAGAAGGCTGAACCCCCACTTTTGGAAATTCATGCAGAGGTTGGTATAATGACAGGGTCTGATGGATGCGCTCCAAGGGCGTCCCAATGCTAAGCCTGGCCTAAGCTCAGCAGGCCTCATGGGTTTAAACAGGACCCCATGTAGGAGCTCCTGTACAGGGCGAGAGGGCCTGTCATCACAGCTCTGGCCATAAAAGCCCTTCTCAGTGCCCCACAGGCTCTGCCTCATCCTTTCAGGGCCCGCTGGAGTGTTTCCTTGGCTCGGGTAAGAGCCACTTTTGCAGAAACGACCACATGGGGTGTCACTCCCACTCCCTCCCAGAAGCTGCCATCTGTGGCACCCACAGAACGGGCAGTAGGGATGGTGATGTAGAGATGGGTATCATCCACATGGTAGGTCTGCGGTGGCTGGCAGCCTCCACTGGTCACTTCACCAATGACCAGTGCCCGGCCCAGTCTCTTCATGATATAGGTGAACTCCTCTGCAGCACCAGCTGTCACACCACTGGTCAGAATGACCAGACTCTTCTTGGAGCCATAGCGTTCACCTGGAGGACAAAGGCACTTCAGTATGGGGTCAGATCAGTACCCAAGGTGGCAGCATTCTGCACTGGCTGGATGAGATGGGCAGGGCCTGGGGCTTAGTCCTGTCTGCTTGTGCTGACCTGCAGGCCACTGGCTTCTGAGCCTCAGTCTCTGCCTCTGATATGGGGCCAGTCATTCATGGCTTTCTGTGGTCAAATGAAGGGAAGGATTGACTTTCCTGAAGATTGGGTATGTTTCTTCCTGAATAATGAGAACCCTACATCTCACCTGAGAAGACTTTTTGCCTTGGACCCTGAGAAGTAGAGGTTGGGGGTGGGGGCATGCTGTTATTAAGCAAAGTAACACTTGAGTCTTGGCTCTTTCTCTTCTTAGCTGAGCGCCCCTACACAAGATATTCAAGCCAGCTGATGTTGATTTTCCTCTTCTAGAATATGGGCATAAAAGCATGTTGCAACTTTAGAAACTGAGGGTCATCAAGGCACCAAGTTCAACAGACCAGGATGGGGGTTTGATACTCCTCTAGTTATTGTTACTTTTACCTAATCTCAAGGCATCTTTCTCTGATTTTCAGAAGCTTTTCAGGGAATAAGAAGAAGGTTTCACATACCTGCGAGCCGAGTACGGGTCCAGAGTTCACTAACAGAATCATTGGGCCGGCTGTAGATCTTGTCCAGCAGAACTGGAGGGCCCTCGTCAAAGAAGTAGGAGCACAGGGCAGCGATGGAGGAGGTAGAGCCACCGATGTTGAACCTGAGGGAAGGGAAGTGGGGTCCACAAAGGGGCTGAGCTCACAGGTAGGTGCTGAGAGTCCCTCTGGGAGATTGGATGTTTGTCCTGTGAAGGGGTTGTAATTTCAGCCAGCCTCAACTCAGAGCCTCTCTACCTTCAGAATTCCACAAGTGACAGGATCCAGAGGATTTCCCTGAGTGCCGGTCCCTTGAAACCAAAAGACTTTGTGATCAAATCCTTTTATAAAATACTGGTCAGGTGTGGTGCCACATGTCTTTAATTTCAGTAGTTGGGAGGCAGGGGCAGGTAGATCTCTGTGAGGTCAAGGTCAGCCTGGTCTACATAGTGAGTTCCAGGCCATCCAGGGCTACATAGTGAGACCATTTCTAAAAAAAGAAATACTGGACTCTGAACTCTAATCATAGAATGCATTAAATGTTCTGATGAGTCCTGCAGATAGGAACTTGGTGATTTATTTCCCAATTGTATTCTGTGACAATTACACAGAATCTACCAAGTGTCTTAGCTCAAGTGTCCTAATGTGGCACTCGGTGTGGCAGTAAACTCAGGGCTGTGGAAATACATGGAGAGGGAGGGCCTCTGCATCCATCCAAGGCCTTTGAGATCTTTGCAGCTGTGTGAACTTGCATGGCCCCTGCCTTGCCACCTGGGACTGGGTGGGGAAGAGGAACCTCTTCTAGCTGATAGCCAGGGACCACCTGACTAGGTTCTGGGCCCTTGACCTCAGCATCTGAGCCCCACTCCCTACGAACAGAAGAGACTTTAAGCCAAGCCCAGCTTGCAGACTTGGGGCTTCCCTTTAAAAAAAAGTGGATAGTACATTTAATCAGAAAGAGACTTAGACTGAGGGTGGCTTGGAGGTTTTCTAAGTCACCTAAGGAATAAAGTGATTAGATAACCACAGGAATACTGAGCTAAGATTCTGGTCATGCAAACAAACAGGCCATGGGAAATGATCTCCTGTCCTGGGAGGAAGGCCAGCCCTGCTGGGATTCAGTGCCACCTAGTGTCAATGAAGAGCCATGCAGGTGCTGCAGGCTACTGGTACAGCTAGTCTGCCTGATTGGGTCAGTTGATTCTTGAGCCTTACTTTGGCTTCAGAGGAGAGTGGAAAGGATCCCCAAGGCAGGGAAGCAGCCTGCACGCCCACACCCATGGGGGTGCTCAGAATTTGCCTACCATGGATCCAGGATTCAAGGGAAGCCCGAGCCTGGCCACAGTCTGAGGACTCTGGATGGGTACGTGGTGGTGGGGTCTATGATGGGAACTCACCAAATATACAGTGTGTTTTTTCAGCAGTAGAAGGTGGTGGCGGGGTGAAGACATCCAACGACTGTTTTGTTATACATACATGACAATGGCTCTCTGGGGTGATTTTTTTTATGAGAGGTACAACCCCAGTAAAACAATCTCCCTTGGAGCTGCTGACACAGGGCTGGTGTGAAGTCATGGACCTATATTTTTAGCCTTTCCCTCCTTCCCCTCATTTGATTTATCTTATCAGGCAACAGATGTGGGTTAATTCTTAACCTGAAATGCACATTGGGATCATCAGAGGGGTTTTAAAAATTACCAGTGCTGGACCCCACCAGCCAATTAAATCTGAACCTCTGGTCTACTTTCCAGATCCCTGACAGGCAGGTGGCTTGGTGCCTCTCAGCTCCTGGGCTGTATCTCAGGGCCCTTTGATTGTCGTCAGCCAGTGCTATGGCTTTGCCTAAAATTGCCCAGCCCACCGACCTCATGTCGATGATCAGGGCATCCGTGTGCACAATCTTTTTCCAGATGTGCTCCACCAGCAGCTTTGAGACCTGGGTAAGCAGCTCACAGTCCCCAAACATGTCGAACCTCAAGTAGCCAATGTTGTCCTCCAGCATGTTTGTGTGGAAGGAAAACTTGATCAGGTCTTCAAAGACTTCCGGGGAAGGGATCTGGAAGTATGGCTCAGTATCAGGAAAGCAGAAGATGGCAGCGCCCAAGAAAGGGATACCATGAATATAGGAAGGAGCTAGTAGGTACCAAAGATTTCCCAGTGGCACGTCTGAGAGGGTACCATGTGGATAGTGGGCTTGGGATGGGAACTCATATGTGGTGTATCAGTCAGTTGATCGAGAGGCATTCTTGCAGTGGATGCTTACATCCACCAGCCCCCTATCTGGTGCCTTAAGATGAAAGGCCTAGGTGTGATCTCCTCTCTGATGCTTCTGGCATCACCAGACACTTCTCAATGTCCCTGCTGGAAGTGGCAGGACTCAATGAGCCAGAAGGAGGGTAAGGAAGCCTGTGTGGACTAGATACTGGCCTACAGCCCTTCTTTTTGACTCTAGCTCCTGTCTGACTGCAGTTGACTGCCCTGCTGCCAGGCCTCCCTGCAGCAACCTGTGTCTTGTGTCTTTCTACTCTCCACCTCCAACCTTCTCCATTGGCATAAGCTTATGTAGCCCCAGCAGGTAAGAGTCATAGTCCCAGTGTGATCTGCCTGTGGAGGAAGAGAATTTGGTCCCTTCCGCCAGCAGAGGGTTACTGGTTCTGGGAAGCTGCCAGGGTCCCACTGGGCTCTCCACTTACCCTCACTTCGTACTTGCTCACTTCCTGCCCAGTGACTACCTCCCAGTTAAACTGCCTGCATTCCAGCCTTCACCTCAGATCAAAGCAATGCTGTGCTATCCATTCCCTATGACCTTGTGGTACAGCCACCAAAGTGAAAGTGGCTTGATAGAGTGCTTAGATAGAATGGGGGCCTTGGTGAATCCAGCCCACCTCATCTACCAGGCCAGAGAAGGTCCCCTCATGCATCCAACCCAGCAGCCACACTCAGCCTATTCTACCTATTAGTGCTCCCTGGCACTTCGGCAAGTATTTTGGCCACAGCCATCTTGTTCCAAATTTCCCATCAAGCTGGACCTCCCTCTTCTACCTTAGCACAGTCAGGAGGTATACTGTATGGTTTGGTAGGAGATGACAAGGTCACTTCAAACCAAGGTAAGTCTTTGGGCTGTGCCCTGGCACCCCAACCATTCCAGAGCCTGTGTCCAGGCTCCATTCTTTATCTCTCCGAGGCCACAGTGGGCCCGAGTGACATAAACCTTATACTTTCTGGGAAGGAAACTTCATGTTGGGGGCGTCTGGTGACTTGCTGACCCCTTCCCCCATGCTGACCATGCAAACTCCTGACTTCTACCTGCTAAGACAGAAAGTCCTTCCATCCCAAGTTTTCACACTGGGCTTACTGAGTACTAATGTTGCAGAGAGGGACACAGGACCATGGACCCAGAGATTAGATGGGACAACAGAGTGACAGGGAAGAAAGGATGTGATGGAGTTGGAGAGATGGCTCAGCGGTTAACCACACTGGTTGTTCTTGCAGAAGACCTGGGTTCGAATACCAGCACCCACACAGCAGCTAACAACTGTCTGTAACTCCAGTCCTAGCGGATCCGACAGCCTCTTCTGACCTCTGCGGGCATTGCACTACACAGGTGCACTTACCTACACGCAGGCAATACACGCATACACATAAAAAATAATAAATAAAAATTTTCTAAAATGTTTGGAGAGATGGCTCAGCAGTTAAGAGCACTGACTGCTTTTGCAAGGGACCCGAGTTCGATTCCCAGCACCCACATGGTGGCTACAAACTGTCCTTGACTCCAGTTCCAGCGGAATCCGAAGCCCTCTTCTGACCTCCATAGCATTGCACGACATGGGTGTACTCACATACATGCAGGCAATACACTCATACACATAAACATAAATAAAATAAAATATTTTTAAAAAGTTTTTTTTTAAAAAAGAATGTGACTAGTAAAAACTATAACACATAAGCAAACCTAGAAGCCACTGTCTTGCATTGTACATATAGCCACACACATGCCAATAATCTGCCAACCCACTTCCAGGATTGGACCAGATCAAGTTTCTCTTGCATCTCACCTGCATGGGCACAATTCCAGGAGTGCGGTCTTTGGCATCCTCAGGGATATGGGCTGTCTTCAGGTGTGGGTCACCAGATAGCAACTGCAGGTCAGCTTCCAGCATGTCAGCCAGGGCGCCTTCTGAGGTCACCCTTGCGTAGCGGGTCTGCAGACGACTTAGCTTAGCAGCCAACTCAGGGGAGGCATAGTTATCAGCCACAAGGTTTCCAGCTGTCTGCAGCACTGTGGGAACCTTGGCATGCAGGGCCACTATGTCCTGGGCTGTGGAAAGAGCCTCACTCATGGGCACAGTGATGTCGGGCTCCACACCAGCCAGGTCCCAGGCCTCACCAGTGGTAGAACTCAGGGCCATCTGGGTGGGCATGGAGGCATATAAGGAACTGTTGCCCACCTGATAGATGCCCACGGAGAGTGCCCCTCCAGCTGTGGGCTCTCCGATGACTGTGGCCCTCTGTAGGTCCTGCATGGTGTGAGCAAAAGCCTCAGCCGCAGAGCCACTATTGTGGCTCATGAGGATGTAGAGATCCTTGTGGGGACCATAGCGCTGCCCAGCAACCAGGGGCAGGGTCCATATTTCTGTGGCCCTGGATGTGGCGTGTCAAAGATGGAGTAGAGATGCTGGTGGGGCTCTGCCTCAAAGAAGTAGGAGCAGAGCAGTGGCACAGCGGAGGAGTAGCCGCCAGGGTTGTAGTGCAGGTTGACGACCAGTGCAGCAGTGTCCACCAGCCTCTGCCACACCAGTCGCACCAGCTGTGGCCCAATAACCTTCACTGTCTCCAGTTCAGCCATGGCATCGAAACGCAGGTAGCCCAGCTGGCCTGGCAGCACCTCTGTCTTGAATAGGGCCTCAATGAGATAGGAGAGCTCCTCCGGAGAGGGAACAGCAGGGGCTGGCGGGGGCACCTCCTCGGCTACTAGCTCGCCAGGGCTGTGGAACACCAAGAGGCGGTGGTCCTCAGATACTTCCTGCAGGTCAGCTGTGAGCTGTGAGGCCAGTGACTCCAAGTCTACAGCTGTGCGGTAGGCCCCTTGGGCAAGCTTGGCTCACAGCAGGACTCCTGCCTGCCCTGCCACCTCTGGCCGGGCATAATGAGCCTACAGTAGGAGTCCCGTGCCTTCCACCAAGGTGCCCAGGCTGCGGTGGAAATCCAGCACCTCTCAAGCTCTGTCTAAGGCCTCCTCAGCCAGCACAATGGCATCAGGTACCACACCACCTCCCAGCCAGGCCTCACCGTGGTTGTCAATGAAGGTGAGTACAGGCACTGTGAGTGCCAGGCCACCCTCTGGAGTGCCCAGCAGTGGCACCGTGCAGGTATGCAACAGACTGCCAGTGGTGATCTCACCAACCAGTGTGGCCCAGCCCAGGGATTGCATGAGGAAGGCAAACTCTTCAGCAGCTGTGGCTGTTCCGTGGCTGGTGAGCAGGTATACTCCACGCTGGTTGCCGTATCTTGGGCCCATCAACTCCTTGTGGCTGAAGTGCTCCTGGGTGACATTGGTGGGTCGGTCATAGGTGGTGAAGAGGTGCACAGGGCCGGCCTCAGGGCCCTGGAGTAAGACAGTAGCAGAGGCACGGCAGAGGATGGTCCCCCAGGATTGTGACGCAGGTCATGATGAGGTGCTCTGTGTTCTGCAGGGGTTTCCACACTTGGTGCAGCACATAAGGGCCCAGTGCCCTCAGCACAGAGGGATCAGCAAATCTGTCAAGGCACAGGTAGCCCACATTGCCTGGCAGCACCGACACCTGAAATACAGAGTCCACAAAGGCTCTTCGGGCAGCTTCTTCCTTGGGCACCTCAGGAGCTGCTTCTGGGGGATCATCAGCTCCAGTCTCAGGCCTAGAGGAAGTTTCTTTCAGCCCAACGGCACGCACTAGGAGCCTGGGATCCTCTGACACAGCCTGCAAGCCAGCATTGAGCTTTGTCACCAGGTCCTCCTCAGAGACTACAGCTGAGTAGTCCATACTAGCCAGGTGCTGCAAAAGGCCTGGCACGTGGTCCACAAGCGTGTAATAGTTCTACAGAGCTTCCTGAAGACGAAAGACAACTCCCAGAAGGGCACGACGCAGGGTGAGGATGGCCAAGGCCTTCTCCAGGGCCTGTTCTGCCGGTGTCCCTACACAGGGAAACACTCCACTGCCCTCCCATGTCTGGCCACCTCCACCCATGGGCCCCAGAGGCACCATAAGGAAGAAGTTGGACTGGCCTATCCTCAGTTTCTGGAGGTCCAGGGCACCACCTTCAGTCTGCTCACCCACCATGATGGCCCTGCGCATCTGTTTGAGGATATAGGCAATGTCCTCAGCCACTCCTCCAGTGTGGCCACTGGTGAGGACCACCACATCCTTGTCAGCACTGTACCTCTCCCCCAGGACCTTGGGCAAGGTCCAGATCTCTGTGGTGGTATTAGAGGGCCGATCATAGATGGTGTCCACATGCATGATGGTGTTCCCGGGGTGCAAGTAGGAGATGACATAGGGAATACCAGAGACATGGCCCCCAGTACAGTGCCAGAGATCTAGCACCAAGGCAGAGGTATTCATGAGCTGCCTCCACATGTGGGCCACCAGGAATCCCCCGAGCTTACTCAGTACCTCCTGGCCCAAGAGATCGTCCACCCATAGGTAACCCACGTTGCCCTCCAGAACCTCATGGTGAATATTCCTCTGTAGCTGGGCCAGTAATTCTTCTTGAGTGAAGTTGGTGAGTGTTGGGGCTTGCTGAGGAGCCTCAAGGGTACTGGGCTCATAGGAGATGAAGAGGCATGGATCATTCAAGGAACTCTGTACCCCAGCTGTCAGCACGTGGGCCAATGTCTGAGGGTCTGAGATACCCAGAATCTCACGACTCTTCATGGCCTGCTCGATGGCTGCCTGCATCGCCATCAGGTTCTCAGGGAAGCAGTAGTTATCCAAGAGGACCTTGGCCATGTCCGGCACCAGGTTCGGCTGGAACAAATGCTTGGGACCAGCTAGGCCACAGAGCAGTGTGGACAAAAGCAGGAGCCATTGTCTCATCATTGGGATTCCTGGAGCCCTGGCTCCTGAACCACAGCTTCTTTGCCTATGCGGGGATGCGGCACTGCTCCTGCCTTTCTCCCTTGACCTTCTTAGCTGGCAGACAGAAGGTCTGGGACTCAACTCAGGAGTTAGAGGGGAGGCTTCCAGCTCTGGTAAGCCCTTAATCCTGTCTAATTCAAGTGCATCAGCCTGAGGACAAGGAAGAAGGGGCCAGGGTGGTTTGACCCGGAAGGAACACTGCATTTTGTCTTGCTGAGCCATGTCTGCATAGAATAATAGGAATAATTGCTGTTTATTTTGAGTTCCTGCCAAATACCAGACCCTGCGCTGTGTTTTACAAACACAGTTTTCACTAAAGCCTTGCAAAAGAGCATCCTTAACCTGTATGTAAATAGCTTTTCCCCACTGTTGTGGGTGAGTCATGGCTCTGGTATTAGCAGAACTTGCTGGAGTTCTGGTTCAGCTGTTGTCTATTCTATTCTGTGCATTTAGGAAAGCATCTTATTTATTAGGCAGATAAAATGAATTATTGGGTAGATCGAATGAGATCATTTTCAAAGCTCTGTGCAGTGCCAGGTAGTAACTGATGAGGACTCTGTAGTCACTAATTGAATCCATCATAGATGGGGACAGGTGAGGGGTGCTGAGAAGAAGCTGGTGGGACCATCATCTCAGAGCATGCCAAGGCTGAGTCTGAGGCCACTATTGGCCTCAGACTTGAAGTTTATTTTGACACCTTGCTAATTCCTCTAGGAACCATCTAGGTCTCCTCACAACTTTTCAATGGGGTGTGGTAGGCAGGAGGGAGCATCATGGGACTAGCGATTACAGATCAGATAGAGTTACCTGTGAAATCTAGTGACCTGCATTTTCTTGGAGAATGGAGACCCCTGCTAGTTAAAGGCTCAGCCCAGTGCTTGTAGGGAGAAATGAGTTATAGGAAAACATGGGTCTATGTGGTCCTAAGTTGTGCATACATAATCCAGATCATCCCCTGTGTAGACACACCTGGGAGCCAGTCCCAAGTGCTTTGTTGTATTCCACCTTCTGCTCATGGAAGTGCTGTGGGTTTTGCTGGTGACTGACTTGCCCTAGATATCCAAGAACATCTTCCATGGATCCAGTACCTAGAACCTTTACTTTACCAATACAGCCTCTTGGTGGGCACATTTCTCTCATTTAACAAGCATTCCTTGCTCAGACTGTAGCAAGTTTGTACAGACAAAGAACAGGGTTGCTACAGCCACCTCTGGTTCCTACTCCTGCCTTCCCTGAGTTACATCCAGAATATACTTGTTGGGATCAGTGGACAGGAAGTAAAGTCCCAAAGTGTCTCAGTTGGCAGCCTAAGAAGGTGGTCTTGGGGAGCTTTCTTTGCAAGCTAGAGAGTCACAAGTCATTCTGAGAATGATTATCTGAGGATGTTTGCAAAGTGGTTTATAAGGCCAAAGAGGTCAATTAGCTAAAACAAACATATTTTTAGCTCATTAGGATTTGTTTAATACCCAACTGACATATGGTCACATCATTCTACTGCTTGCAGCCAATAGAAATGAGGCTGATTTACAGAATCAGGCTTGGGTAGGAAGACATAATTGTATCTGTTGTCTCTCCTGAGTCCTTTCTGGGAAGATCAAGACTTTCAGCTTCCATCTGGCTGTCTTTCAGAGGTCCTCTGGGGACAGTTTTCTGTCACTGCTGGAGCCCGGACCAACCTCTGGCCAGGAATGGGTGAAGACAACCAGAAAGAAGGCTCTCTTTTGGGAACATGTAGCCCAAAGAGGAGGAGAACAAGGAGTATCCTGGGGGCTAGAGATGGGCTTTGCAGTATGGTATTGGTGGATAGACACTGGCAGTTATGCAGGCCCTTGAACACTGGGTGGAGTAACCTAAGACATCTGTCCCCTGAAGAGAGACATTCTACTCTGATGTGTGGGGTAAAGTGGAGCAGCTAACTGCCAGCAACATCTATCCACATAGCTGCTCATGCCAGCACACACGCATGCACACATGTACACACACACATACACACACACACACACACACCTGTTCATATACAAACTGACTCCAGTGTGCAGATGTCATACACCCGTGTCTGCCCACCCAGTGACAGCTCCGTGTCCCTCCTCCCTGCATCGGCCTAGGGAAAGTGATAGCACATCTCATAGGGGCTCATAGTGCAGGTGGGTGGGAAGTGTGGGGCTGGAGGTCCCTCAGCTCTGGCCTCTCATTCAGGAAAAACACATATTCAACTTTATCTCCAAGTGAATTTTCAGAGAG